GCGGCTTATACATGCAAATTATAAAATAGATGTATACAAACAGCTGGCAAGACAGCAAAATGTATTAATGATTGAGCATAAAATACATTGTCGGGTGAACGTTTCCTAGTATTGTACTAGTTGTGTTGCTGGTCATTGTGACCAGTTGTGGGATACTAGTACTAGTGATAATTGATACTGGTAGTGCAGCAAACTACTATAGTGATCGACAGGGACAGTGAATAAGGAGTGCTAAGCACACATGTTTCAACTGTCACAGAAACATGTTCCTTTGATTGAAAATAATAATAATAAATAATAATAATAATGTATGGTAAGTAATGTTTTAGCTTAACTGCTTTCACACCTGCAAAATAGAAAAATATTATATACAGGCTATCTGTTAGTTATCCAAGATTTTTTTAAATTAGGCATATTTAGAATATCGTATTTCTCCTAAGAGAAATTATATATAAAATTGAAGAAGGTTTATGTAGATATAAGGACATAGTGGTTATGCATGTGCATGTTATAGTATAGAGAGTACTACAGTACAATGCAGAAATATTCCATACGCTTTGTACAGAAAGATATGTGCCAAAGTATTGGTCTTTCAAAAATATCTCTAGACCTTTTGTTATTTTTCTGTTTTTACCTTCTTCCGTTGCCCTGCAGAAAAATCATTTGTTGAGCCGGTAAAACTTTGTGGCGGTTGAAAAAGCCACACAACAACAACAACAACAACACAACAACAAAAAAAAAAAAAAAAAAAAAAAAAACAGCAGAGCGAAGCGGGAAATCAATCGAGCGGGAGAACAGCGTTGTAGACATTCCACGCACGCGCAAATTAGCTCTTATTGGCTATGGCTTACACCTCGTTTTGCAGGTTGTGAACGGGTCTCCCGTATTGATCCTATGACTATGCCTCTATGTGCTTTACGCCCACGTCTGAAATGAACCCAAGAGTTTAATTTTTGGTTTGACGTCTGAGACACGTCAACCGCTCCTAGGGGGGAAAAGTGAATGACGTGTCTCAGACGTCAAATGTACCCAAGGGGTTAATTCTTTTGGAAAAAATTGTTTCGGTTTACGAACATTTTGGATGATGAACAGCTTCAGGAGCGAATGAGTTCGTGCACTTGTCAAATATCTGAAGATAAACAGTTTTAGATATTTACTTAAAAAATAATACCTCGCCCACTGGCAGCATTGATTACTAACGGTAGACACAAGGACTCATTCTGACATTATTTGTTTTTCTGGAAACCGGATTGAAATATTTTACCGCCATTGAATACATTGTACCCATCGAATTTAACTCTCTTCCCTTTCTCATGACAAAAAAACATCCATTCAATTCATTCCACGATCATTTCATTTGTAGGCGCTGCACGATTTCCACTAGCTTAATGACTCAACTGCCTTTTTTTAAGGCAGAAAGCTGCACGTTCATCGTGATAACTTTAACGCCCCTCCCGTCAGTCAAAATCAATTAAAATCATATTGTAATATAAGCGTTTTCTTTATCGCTAGAATTCGATATGAATTGCTGGAAATATGCCAAAATTGTCAACTGTATTGTTTTAAGAAAGGGAACAAGTGGGGGATTACAGAAAAAGTCAATTGCGATGAAAGGATAGATTGACGGTCATCATAAAAAAGAATTATACTCTTGATTGTTCAATTTAAATATCTTATGAAGGCCTAGCAAATCAACATTTTAAAATTCCTTGGAGAAGAAATTGCAAACTTCTGCTTACATAAGGGCCAGTTTAAGATTTAAAGAAACATACAATGCATTTTATTTTATAGGATCTATTCTTCTTTGCTAACATGCAATGTTTAAAAGTCTAAGTTGCGAACGACTCGAAGATGAATACAACAGGGAAAAGGTGTAAAAGACCCTTTTATTGAATACAAGCGTTTACAGACGGCAAGGACACATGTGCTTACACAATCAACAACTACTTGTGATCAGGAACATAAAAAAGATAACGTGAAGCAACTAAATTCAAAGATAAATATTAGTGCGTGACTACGTAATTCGGTGTAACCTAGAAGGTTGACTCGGAAACCTACATCGGCGGAATAGTAAATTCGACAGTAAGAATGCGAAGCAGAGATTCTAAGTTCAACAGCTGGTAGAATTACCAGAGTGCGCTCTCACTAGCGAAACCGCCCTCTAACTAAACTTTTCGTTACTTCAGTTTAAATACACTCTCGCTCACCCTAACTGAATTACTTACTGGAGAGGAAAGACGAGGGAAATAAAAGAGAGAAAGGGTTAACAAATTAAAATAACTATTAGTAAAAATAATAGACTTCTACAATTTAACCAATACTTAAGGGATGTCCGGAAATAATAAAAAAATTTTCTAATGGCAAAGTTGAATAATAAACACAGTTTTTTCAATACGGTAGTTACATTTATTTCGAACTATTTTTGTAAATAACTTTAACAGATAGAGCAAGACTGAGATCAACACATACGAGGTGCGGGAAAAAAAAAGAAAACTGAATGTGTAGCTTGAAAACAGAGTGGAGTTGGCAAAACCTATTATGGTGATGTCATGCCACACATCTTCTCTATCCATGCGGCCAGTTTTGGCTTAAATCGCCACGCCAGTGGGGAGCACTGCGTCATTGAGTGAACACATGCAACTGCAGTCTGCAGGAAAAACACCTAATGTAAAAATCGAACAGCGAATTAACATCAAGTTTCTTGTGAAACTTAACACATCAGCCACGGAGGAATCATTTCAAATGGTATGGCTTATGGAGATGAATGTGTGTTTGAATGACATAAGCGGTTTTCATGGGGAAGGGGCAGTGTGGTAGATGATGAACGTACTGGGCGCTCCCTTGGGCGTTAATCATGATTGAATGGATTCCAAGTGGTCAGATTATTAAGCAATACCACTAAATCGAAGTACTAAAAAGACTTCGTGAAAAAATTTGGAAAAAACGGCCACAGCTGTGGAGTGAATGGATGGCTGTTGCACGAGAACAATGCACCCGCTAATACGGCCCTATCTGTCAAGCAGTTTCTCACCAGCAAAAACATTACTGTGATGGAGCATCTTCCTTATTCACCTGATTTGGCTCCATTGGACTTTTTTTATTTCCTAAAGTTTGCTTAAAGGGAACCCATTTTACGTCAGCCGAAAAGGTTCAGGCAAAAACGGAGAATCTCCTGAAGAGCCTTTCAAAAACCTCGTTCCAGAGATGTTACCAGCAATGGCAGAACCGAATGCTGAAGGGAAACTACTTTGAAGGTGATAATGTCATGGAGAACTGATTTTTTAAGTACAATTATTTATTAGACCAATCTCGTCCTTTTTTGGGGGGGAGGGTTACATCTTGTACAATGCACACACATTAAGAATTTGTGATTGAGATATCTTGAAAAATTGAATGTGTCTTCCCCGAGATTCGAAGCCTGGCCTTCAGATTACCTTACAGACTACAACAACACGGGAAGAATGATCTTACTTTTATGTAACGTCTCACCTAAAGCGTGACTGGGAAAAGATGCGACTTAGAACTCAAGAATCTAAGTTGATGTTAAATCAGTTACCGATTTTAATTCTACACCACTGCAAAAACATTTCAAATTGCGGGCTATATTTCTTAAGAAGTTCTTTGTGATGTTATGCGGAATCACAACTAGTTTTATAAGTCATCACACTGATATGCTGGATATTAGGTCTAAACAGCACAGAGGATACGAATAGTTTAATTGGTCACATTTCTTCCCACAGCTTAACGGTGGCTATCTCAATTTGAATAGTTCAGGATTACGAAAGTTCATTTAATTTTTTTCGGGAGCCACTAAATATGCTATTAATAATGATGAAATTTTATTGCTTTCGCATCATAATTTAATAATAATACAGGAAATTAATTAAATTAAAAATATTTTTCATTTCAGGTTATGCTTTGATTAAAAAAAATATGAATACTTTTTCCGACAGTCTACATAAAAATTCAGTTACGTAAAATTTATCAAACACTAAATTTTTTAACACTTTTTCCTGAACTGATATTTTTCAGTTACCTGCGAAATCAAAAATTTCGTTCTTCAACTTGAGTATGGCTCATCGAGCTTGGAAATTTAATATTTTGTTGTACTTGAGTTAAACGTTCGGTGTTTTTATTTTTTACAATGAGTATAAACCTCTACTAAACAAAACTACATTAACCGGGAAGGACGGTATAAAAAGTTTATTTCGTAATTTTTAAAAAACTGATATTTAAAAATTTAAAGACGCCAAAATGCTTGTGTCATTTAAAATATTTCTGGAATTGGAAGTATATATCAACGACTAACGTTGCGAAAATAAAGAAGCCCTCATAAGAACTTTCATAAACACGGGGTATACCACATCTATTTATTCTTAAATATTAAGGTTTATTTCACAGAAAAAAGAAGGGCTTTTCATTGGATAATATTAATTCTCTCATCTTTATATTTACGTAACATCTCGTAAGATCCCAGACACTGACTGGACCAAAATAGTCATTAGGACAGGGCCTCACAATCACTTGACTACATTAAGGCATAAGACAGCGTGAACAGTGCTATAACTTCACACCACCTTTTGCTGCGCCAAAGACATCTCGGCATCTCTAATATTCAGTTACCAGTTGCTGGACTTAAATCTCTATATCCCGATTGGGTAGCCAACTTCAGAAATCTAGACGGGTGTAAGAAATCTAAACTGTATGCCAAAGACTGCAAGTTAATCCACTTACAACTCGGTAAGTCACGATGCGGTGTTGAAATTATCAAATTTTATAGGCATCTAATGTTTAAATATTTTTATAAGATACAAAGCTTGCGAAAGCGTTCTTTTAATGGAATATTTGGTTTCACAATGTTTTCTCTTAATTTAACCAGTTTTAGTAAAAGAGGTAAGATTTTATCATGAAGATAATTACCAGATTTTATGAGATGTTTAAAAATATTTCAGAATTTAGGGAAAAAATAACGTATAATAATGATCTCATTACTTACGTACCTGAACTGATTCAAAACTTCCAGTATTTTCAGACCTGAAATACGAAAGATAACGCATTAGAAAAACATCTTAGCAGTCATTTATATTTCAGGACCATTTCCTAAAAAACAATTTGGTTCGGGTTTTTGAATACAGAAAAGCCTCGATGGCTATTTGCCTAAGAGGAGAGATGCCTTTGCGTAGGACGTTTTGAAGGAAGTTGGCTCGTATTCGCGTTACAAATATGGAAAACCACAAAACCCAAACATAAAGCCAGCCTGTTCGCCTGGGATCGAACCCAAGCCAGGTATTTGGTGACACCTGGACTGCCAGTATTCAGAAGTCTTATCCTGAAAACAATGGAGATCTGATAAACTGCCTAGAATTTTTTTATGAAAATTTACACTCATTTCCTAACATATTAAAAAAAGAAACAGAAAAGAATTCTCTTTCTTTGTCAGTTCTGCATCGATATTGGACGTTAACATTTCACAAACTATATGAAATGCAGTAGTGTTACAGTATATGAAATGCAGTAGTGTTACAGTATATGAAATTGCCAATGTACTTCCTTTACAAATGGTTTAACTAATCTCTTCTTGATCTTCTGGCTTATCTCCCATTAATAAGATTATTTAATCGTTTTACCAAATTGCTAAGCGAAACGTCACTACCCTCTTTCCCTCCCTTTATTAAGGGGGCCAGAATACTCATAAAAATAGCTACATGCAAAAAGTCCTCCATGACGGCATTCTTCCTTTTACGCAGGTAACATTTGCATACTTGACCTTAGTCAATTAACAAGTGAAAATATATAATCAAAATTGGTATTAGAAAATATTTATTTTGCATATGTGAAATCCCAAATCAAAATATGTATAAGAAAATATTTTAGTTTGCATATGTGAAATGCCAATCTTATAAAACAAATCATATAGATTTGTTTTAAGCCTTTCAGAAGGAAAACAGAAATCTCATTTCAATGCATGTTTAGTCCTTCATGTAGATCAGTGCTGTTTAGATCCAACTTCGTCGTGATGAAACGTTAATAACGTAATAAAATATTGATCTATCTAAATATTTTATCCTAAAATTGAAATCAAAGAAACGATTTCAGTTTTATAACCCGCTAAATAAATAAAAACACATAAAATTATCAGGGAAATTTTAGTACATAAGTTACATTAAAAAATGCTGCCCTGACGAATACAGTGGTTAGCGCTGCTGATCACCGTATCGCTGGCCATTGTTCAAATCCAAAGAAGGTGTTTCTGAGTGCATACTGTCTGTGCGGTATGGGGGCACTTAAAATAATGGCGAGCCGAAAGTTTTTTCGTGAGGTTTGAGGAGGTGTAAGAGACCCAAAGGATCCATTTTCCTATAATATTCTCGATCAAAATTTGAACGAAACCTCTACTTCCTAAGGAAAATTACTATATTAGAATGCAATACGTTTCGAGCAAAAAGAACATAACGTAAACACGTGAGATAAGGGAAAACCATTATACAGGTAGCCTACTCAGTCACTCACAAACCAGAAACAACTGCCAGTGCTCAGTGGACTCATTTCCGTGGAATGGTGGCAGACACCTGAGTGCTTAGGCAAAAGTCCTACCCCAAATCGATTACACCTGAAAGCTTTGAAATCAATTCTGGAAATAAATGGGCAAAATTCCCAATGTATGCATACAGAGATGGGGGGAGTTAAAATGTAGCAAGCATTTGAAGAGAGCCCAGCATCACTAGTCACACAATATAGTCACTGAGTGTGTAAACAGGCATATAACTGCTGAGCTGAAAACAATTTTAAGAACAAAAGAAGTAAGTGGACTCACTTATTTGGCCAGTGGATGCTCTGATTGGTAAAATGGTCAACATTGCTGGCTGCCGTATCATCAGGGCCGAGTTTAAATCCCAAAGAACGCTTGAATGTTTGTAAATGCTGTAACATCTTAGTGGGATGAGAGCACTTTTAAAATTACACAGCTAGCACAAAAAAAAAAAAAAAAAAAAAAAAAAACTTTCAAATGGTTTGGTGGTAGAGAAAGAGGGGTGACAGATCCTTAGACCCGCTTCCCTGGAATATTCTATTTTAAAATTGGGACGGAACCATATTCTTCCAAGGCCCATGCCAACGGTTGCAATCTTTCGCATCATATGAAATCGCATTTCCCTTTCTTGCATACAATCTTATAACTTTATTTTATAGAACAATCTTATAACTTTATTTTATAGAACAGCAGATGCATTTAGCTTTGCATTTTTTCCAGCTGCTAGAAGGAGCTTTTTAATAACGGGAAAAAAATCAAAAAATCTATTTCTGGTTAATTAAACCTGTATTTCAGAAGCAAAAGATAATAATGCGCTTAGCAGAGGATTACATTGCTCCAGTCATTAAACCATAGCACTAATTTCGAGCAGAGCTAAAAGGTTTAAATCCCACTTAAATACTTAATCAACCATCAGTTTCTAGAAAATGCTCAAGAAATCTTGTAAGAGTGTGCAAAAATAAGGACTTCAGTAGTCTCTTCTAATTTGGAGACCAAATAAATAAATGGCCTTCAAAGCTTATAACCATACTATAGCTTAGAAATTTAGAGTTTGAAAACTACAGATAGCAATCACCTATCACGTTTTCCCCCAAAACTGAAACTGATATACGTATGATGAAATTTATCACCAGCTACCCTACCTATGGACTTCCCACTTTAATCTTCCCAGCAAAACAGAGGTTTAAAGCAAACTGTCTGTTGTGTTTCTTACCAGCATAGTATAAGCACAGTATAACTATGCAAGAATCGGCAGGTTCATCCATCTTATTAATGTGACTACCAATATTTATTTAATTTGTAGTTAATAAGGTAAAGATTATCCAAACTCTAACAGCCTTGAATTATTGATAGCAAATATAAATTTTCTTCTATTAATTTAATACTCATATATAATTAAATAAATTTTAATTAATTGTATTTTAAAAATATAAATATGCTGGTAGTAATGTATGCTTAAAATTGCTTTTTGAAGGCAACAAGATTAAAGTGATCCGCAATATATTCTAATAAAAAGAGCGGCTCCCACTTGAAGAAGGTTTGAGAAAAGCTAATCTGAAATATGATAACTCGGGTAACTTTACTAGGAAATCTGAAAAATAAAGAGGGAAAAGAAAAAAGCCTGTCGATGCATAGATTTCATTAAGAAAGAGAAGAAATGTTTCTCATTAAGAAAGAGAAGAAATGTAAGAAAGAGAAGAAATGTTTATTTTATCACATAAGACTGTTGTTGCGAGTTAAGTATTGAGGCAGATGTTACATAGCTTGCTACCAGGATTTCATTTCTAATATTTCTAGCAGCGTTACTAATAACAAGAAGAAAAGAGAGAAACATAGCAGTCCACATGTCAGTGAATGTTATAATATAAATACAGCTCAATATAACAGTTCCTGTTTTGTCGTTAAAAATCCCTTAAATTGCTAACCCTTAGTCTCAGATTAGCTTCTTTCTTTGAACAACACACCAGAAAATAGTAACAAAACCAATTTAATGCTAACTTCTTTACGAAAGGAGGAACACACATTCTGGATTTTGATAAGACTGGATTGTTTGGATTATGGCAAAGCATTCTAAGAGAACCGATGCCTTTGTGCAGGATGTTGAAAGGAAAAATGACAATTCATCTTCTAGGAAATGCAGGGAATCTCAAATGCTGTCTAATTTGCAACTATTTCCATCTGAATAAATTAAAAATAATAAATAATGAATTTTTTTTTCTAAATTAGTAAAACTGCATGAGAATATTAACAACATACTTCTCACGTTAAAAAGCTTATAAAATAATTGTATGAAAATTCTGGTAAATTAGACCAGTCGTAATAAAATAACAAAATTAGAAATGAAAGAAAATTATGCACGAGTAAATCACAAAAACAATATCAATGAATGGTATTTAAAGGGGGGAAATTATTCATATATTCAATCGAACTATTCTAGGTTATTTATTAACTGATCACCCAAGGTATGTTGAAAATGGTCTCAAAAATTGAAAATTTTGAAATTAAATAATTCGTTCAGTTTTTGTCGCATGGGAGAGAAATTTTTTGCATTTTATTTTCTATCCCAAAGGGGTAATTTGCCGGAAGGCCTATTAATTTCGTTTTGGAATTTTGCGTTGATTAAACGGCGAATCACTTTTTAAATTGTTGCCACTAAATATTAGAGCCCTGTTAAGAGATTTTAAAGAAATAAAAAAATGAAGAATCTGCATAAATGTATGTATGTTTATCGCATTGTAATAAAACAACGATATGTAGAGCCATCAAATTTTGAATAACGTACGTCTCCATCCGATTACGGGCATCTAGAAGCTCTAATTTGGAATTTGTTTTATTATCTATGTCATATTTTGTAAAGCATTTATGAGTTTCTGATTAAGATGTAGGTAATTAGGCATTAGGTAATTTTGAAGCAGGAGACATGAAAAATGAGCAGTGCCCTCGCTGGAACTCGAACCATGGACCCCTCGAATAGATGCCGAGCGTGCTGACCACTACACCATGAAGACATGCTAAAAAGGTCGGAGAAATACCTTATATACTCCTTCTTTTAAAGGGTGATTGGAAATTACGGGACCCAATCTTCAAATCCTGGTGGCGGAGAATCATCATCCACCACTTTTTTTGTTCGGGCGCCACTGTAGAGTCATTACGTTATTTCAAAGCTGGGAGCATGAAAAATGAGCAATGCCCTCCGACGGGACTCGAACCACGGACGCGACATGCGTGCTGACCACTGCACCACGAAGGCATGCTAAAAAGATGGGAGAAATACCTTATAAAGAAGCTCAACGATTTCAAAGTGAGCAATGGCAAAGCTGCACGAAAAAAAAATATTTGTATCTCCAGCGCGCGAGACTGTGTATCGGAAAATCTGAAGATTTTTTTTTGTGATATTGCTTTTGAATTGAATTTTATGGCTTAAGTAGGAAGAACATGATATTTAATAAATAAAGGTAACACACAAAACGTTAAAAAAACGCCCCTTTAGGCGTAGTTTAAAATCTGAAACATTTCAGATTTTTTTTTAAAACTTTTTTTTTTAAATTTAAAGTAATTTCATTATAATAAAATAACACATTAATTAAAATAAAATTTACAAGTTTTGATCGAAAGGAAGTCAGGAAACCGAATCCTAGGGTCTCGTATTCCGCAATCGAACATTTTAGAGAACTGCAGAACGCTTATTTTATTCAGAGAATCTAAAATAGAAAAATTTCCAACCTCATACTGAGAATTACGAAAAGAATAAATAAAAGCAGCTTCCTTCTTCTTTTTGTCTTTAATTAGGCAATTTTAGAACTTAGAACTGTCAGGTTGATAAGCAGTTTTGCACGAATCAAAGGTCTTGCAACATCCCAACTTTCCCACAGACCCTTCAATGTAATTCAGCAAAAACATATAAAACAGGGAATCCCTTTCTTGTTATTCATGGGACGATAAAATACAAAGTTCTAGAATAGTTTTTAAAAAAAAAATATTAAAGAGCCACCCACCTAGAAATTCGTTTCTGATGCGTATCCTATCATTCAGGGTGGCAGTCGAGATGATGACGCAATTCACAAAGGCTACTAAAGCAGTTGTGTATTCGACGACCTCTGAGGATTTCATTTCGTTTATCACAAGCTGAAATCTATAACGACGCTTCTTGAGTACCTGTAATAAAATGAATTAGACATTAACAGTTACAAGATTTTAAGCAGAGTAAATTAAATTAAATTTTAGGTAATATGTTTCACACAGAGTGTTAATATTTTCATTTTTTAATTCATACAACTTATATAATGAGAATTTTCAAAATATAAAAACTTTTTAATGTGTTAAGGAAACACGTATCGTGTTTCGATCTTCTTAAACCAAAATTATTTGCTTTAATTCATTTAAAATAAAAAGAAAACTTTATTAATAAAAAAAAAAAAAAAATTCAGACAAATCTGAAGCACAGAGATACTTTTAGAAAAGGCCTCATATCTAAACACAAATACTACCAACTTACTAACACCAGCGCCAGTCTTATCAGTTACCAAAGCACCATTGCTGTTCACATTTCTTCCCTACCAGCTGCTCAGTGCAGGCCATTTGCTATTATATCCTCTTTTTCTAATTTTGTGTAGAATAGACACTGCCGATAAGATTCCAGCAAATAACTTCTCCGGACGCTGATTTCCTTTCGGCCTGGTATCGAATCCGGAATCTTCTATTTCTGTTATCTTTTGCCTCATCAATTAACCTATAGAAACGTTGTTGTTATTAACTTTTCTTTCCCAACTGCTTCTTATGCCCACAGGATTAGAATTTCGATAGAAATGAGAGACAACAACACGGATCACCTATGGCATTTTTCAGTTCTAACAAGTTTTTGCGAAATATCTCAATGAAACTTCCATTGTAAACTGTTAAATCAACGACAGTTTGTTATAACTGAAAGTAAGAACAAGATTTAAAAAAAAAAAAAAAAAAAAAAAAAACTGAAAGCTTTCACATTTTATAATATGCCTAAAGGGGCATTTTGTGTGCTACCTTTATTTATTAAATATCGTGTTCTTCGCACTTAAACCATAAAATTCAATTCAACAGCAATATCGCAAAAAATATTTAAAACAGCGTATCTTTAGACTTTCCGATACACAGTCTCGCGTGCTGGAGATAAATCCCCTCCCCGGTACAGTGTTGCCACTGCTTGCTTTGAAATCATTGAGTTTCTTAATCAAAAACTCATAAATACTTTACAAAATATGAAACAGATATTAAAATAAATTCCAATTTCCGGGTTCCAGATGCCCGTATTCGGGTGGAGACGTACGTTATTCAAAATTTGACGGCTCTAGGTACCGTTGTTTTATCACAGTGCGAGAAGCATACATACATTTATGCACATTTTTCATTATTTAATGTCTTTAAATATAATACAGGGCTTTAATATTTGGCAACAAATTAAAAAGTGATTCGCCGTTTATAGTGGATTAAAGCAAAATAAAAAAAACGAAATTAACAGCAATTCTGGACTAACGTCCTTTGGGCCAATTATTAAAAGGGACGTGGGAGTTTCCTTTTTTCTAATGTTCATAACGTGTCTTTGAAAAATTAGGTTTCTTCCGAAAGTTCTTGAGGAATATATTGTTATTTAAGGAAGAATTGATTTAGTAGAAAAGCACTATGCTCATTTAAAATTATTATAAAAAGAGGGCTTCGCATCATAACTGCTACATGCATTTTCATCAGAAATTCGATGCTGCACAGAGTCGTAAAAATCCCTTTGATTGGCAAGCACCTTAGAAATACTAACGAGTTTTGCTAAGGCAATTAACAGTCAGTAATCAAGTATGTAATACTGGAAAATGACAAATTTATTAGGCCTAGTCGCTGTACGTCTGTTAGACGACCTAACTTTTCTTTCCTAATAGTACATACTTATGTATATTAATTCCAATTATGTTAATTCCAAGAATTAATTTGCACATATTTTTAACTTTACCTTTTAATTACATCTGCGTTATTATTTTTGTGTTCTTTTTGCTTGTGAATTTAAAACCTTGTACAGGATTACATATTTTGAAATCTTCATGCGCATACTCGTGCTGAATATAGTTTGATAATATTTCTAGGCACCACCTGTGGTGTTTTACACTTCTGTCATCCCACTTGTTTCATGGTTGCGTATCTGAAATAGCACTGCTGAAATTATCTTAGAGTCGTCTATGCATCAGGACATACAGGTCTCCAATTTTCATTCATCTCCGATTCTTTTTTGGAAGCATTTACTAAGGACAGTAAAACAGTTGTAGAATGTTACACGTCTATATACACCTACATAATAACTATACTGAATATATTTAAAATAACTTCCTAATTTCCTTTATCCTTTAACTAATAACGGCCTTTTAATTAAGACTAATTCAGAAGTCAAACAACAAAAATCAGCGTTAATTTTCAAAATTTTCACAGAACTAGTTTCGATGGTTTTACCGAACCACCATCCTCAGCTGCAAAACCGCAAATGAACAAGATAGGAAATAATTATTAGATAAGATAAGAAAGTCTGGACAAGAATAAGCAAGTGGCGCCATCTGTTGGTGAAACGAGAACTAAAAGACAATTTCTTTAAAGGTCAAAGGCAAAGATGGATTGGAATTAGGATCTTTAACAAGAACAGAAAGATTTTTTTGAATGTGAAATGCCTCTAGAAAACCAGTTCTCCAATGGAAGATGTTTTTTGAATTATTTTGGCAGCAGAAAAATTGAAAGTGTGATTTTCGGACCAACAATGTTGAGCAACAGAAGACCTCTGTGTTTCCTTTTTTCTAACATATGCCTCATGTTCCTTGACGCGAAATTTTAAGGCTCTCTTAGTTTGGCCAATGTAAATTAAACCACACTGGCAAGGAATCCTATAAATACCCCAAGAATTCATATCCGGAATGGGGTCTTTGAGTATGGAACTCGGAATTTTATTGATGGGAGAATAAACAACCCGAAAGTTAAATTTCTGCAAAATATGTGCAACTTTATAGCTAATTGATGGAAAGAAGGGAATGACAACATAATTTTTATAATCTCCTAAAACAGGAGTGTGCCTTTTAGTGTGTTGAGATGAGAATTTTTTAACTGCATGATTAATAATGTTGGGTGAAAAGCCCCTGTCAATAGCTATTGCTTTTAAATAATTTAGTTCTTCATCAAGGGCTAGTTTGGAGGAGCAAACTTGAAGAGCACGGAAAACATAGGAATAAAATGAAGCTAACTTTTGTTTAGTCGGATGACATGATTTAAAGTGTGGTGGAAGGCAAACCGATGAAGGTCTTTCAGTCAAGCAACTGAAATACTGATCATTAAAGTTACTTTCATTTTCGAATGCGTTCTTTTTGTTCTAGTCCAAGTGCCAAGGGCTTTTTATAAACCAATCACAATATTTTTTGCCGTAATTTTAAAATGTGCGTTTGTGAAATTTCCCAGCAAAGGAGAAAGCTGGGGTAACATTTCTGCAGAAAAACAAAATTTTGCCGCAAAACCTCTAAAGGTAACAAGAAAGAGATAGCTTTGGTAGACAGCCAGTACCTTCGAGGTTTGTGCGATGTTGAGTCACCGCAATTCTCCGATTTATATATATATATATATATAACTAAAAGCAATTCGCTGTGTTCTTGGCAAGAAGACGGAAAAAGAAAAGAGAGAGAAAGATTTGGTGAAGAATGTATTTTATTTTTTAATGTATCACATAATCCTTATTTAATAATTAATATTTGTATTTTAAATTTCTGAAGTATGTTCTTCTTGCTAAAGTAGGCCAACTTACAATAAACATCGACAATTGGGAAGCTTTCTAAAAAATTTATGAAAAACATCAACTTGCATTCGATAAGATGTAGAGATATTATGATTTATTTTGGAAGCAGGAATGATGAAAAATATGCAACGCCTTCGCCAGGAATCGAACCACGAACCTCTGGAATACGCGTCCAGCGTGCAGACCACCACACCACGAAGGCATGCCAAGAAGGCGTGAGAAACTTATATACTCCCCTTTTAAAGGACAACTGGGATTTTTAGGGGACCCAACTGCCAAATCCTGGGTGTGGAGAATCATCATCCACCACCCTCTTAGTTCGGGCTCCACTGTAGACACATTAGGATTTATTTTGGAAGCAGGAAAGATAACAAAATATGCAACGCCTTCGCCGGGAACCGAATGACAGACCTCTGGAATACGCGTCCAGCGTGCAGCCACCACACCACGAAGGCATGTGAAGAAGGCGGGAGAAATACCTTATTAAAAAACTACGTTTTATCTTTTCCTCTGCGAAAAATTGCCAAATTGGGTCAAGATGGTTGCGTTAATACGCAAGTACCGAATTTGCTTTTCTTGAAACTACTTGCACACCTTTTGTGTATTTCCATGATGGAAAAGGTATTGTTTAGAAATTTTCAATCGAACATTTAACATGCGTAGCTTTTGCAAAATGTCCCCTCTCCATTGCTTCTGAAGAACAGGGGTGTATCTGATCGCCCCCGAAATCGAAACAGCTTTATTCAAAATTTGTGCCACTACGAAGATGGTTTTTCTGCCTAATTTTAAATTCATAATTTTAGTAAGCAATATTCAGCTCACAAAAATTTTTCAACTCACAGCTATTTCGGTTCATTTTTAAACGATGAAGATGAGACTTTTGCATTCGATTACGTCAGTTATAGAAAATATTTCTCTCATTAATATCTTTTTTCGCTACATGACCTACAACAGAAATTTTAAACTTCGTATATTTTTAATAAAAGCTGTCATAGCATAATAAAGCTGGCCAAAGCTGTCACAGTCTGTAAGGCATTCATTTCTTTAAATATAAAATTATGTATCTGTGACTATTCATTCACAATATATTCTAACTCATCATTTCTAACTCATCCTATACACTGCTAATAATAAAAAAAAAGGAATGATAAAAGAATATAAAAAGAAGACTATAAAAATAATACAAGGAATTTTCCATCTATTACCGTCTGTCTCCCTCCTAGATGATCACATCTGAAACTGAACTGTATTTTTAACAATTAAATAAAATTTACATTGAATATCATTCTGTAACACAACCCCTTTTATTTCTATTAATAACGTTCTTCAAAAATGATCATTCATAAGATCCATACGACCAATATTATTTCTA